AAGGGGAGAATTGTTTGATGGAGAAAACAGAGAAAGCATAGAATACGTGAAGCATGTTCAAAGGGATTACCAAGATACTAAGAAGTCTATAGAAGACTGGCATAACAGCTTGAAAGAAACTAAGGACAGACTATCTGAACTGGAGGGCAGACTTGTAATATGGGAGAATGAAATGAAAAACTTCTTAAAAATAACAAAGAAACAAACAGCAATAATACAAAGACAAGAAGATGATAAGAGGAGCCATAACTTAAGGATTAAGAACATAAAAGAAGAAGTAGGGACACAAACAAGTGAACTACAAAAGCTACTCACAGAAATAATCCAGGAGAATTTTCCTAATTTAGCAAAAGGTAAAGATACTCAGATGTATGAGGCATACAGGACCCCAGCTACCTACAACCCAAACAGAGCAACACCCAGGCATATAATAATCAAAATTCCAGAAATTCAATACAAGAACAGAATATTAAAAGCTGTAAGAGACAAGAAACAGACCACTTACAAGGGAACACCCATCAGAATTACAGCAGATTTCTCGGCACAAACCATCAAATCACGAAGAGCGTGGGGGGAAATAATTCAAGCATTGAAAGATAATAATCTCCAGCCAAGATTGAGATATCCTGCACAACTGTCCCTGGAAATTGATGGAAAAACAAGGTGCTTCCAGGATAAAGAGGAACTGGGGGAATTTGCAACCACCAATTCAACTCTACAGAAAGTATTGCAGGATATTCTAAAAAAAGAAAAATACAAAGAACCCAGAAATAGTGGCGGGGAGGCCACAACAAATGGAGCAGAGAACAAAATGAAGAAGACAAACTGACAGCTACTGACAGAAAAAGAGCTTAACAGAAATGAGGCAGAGAAGATTGGATGATAGGAACAGCTATTTTGGAGAAAATGACATCTTAATAGGTAATACTGATTTCGTATCATCTTGTTTTGAAGTCTCATCTAGCTTTTGTCCTTCTGTCTCCAATGGTCTAAATAGGTTGTATCTTACTGGATTTTATTATGTATGATAGTATAAGCAAAAACCTTGTAAAGACAAGGAGATTATACAGAAACCATTATTCATTTTCTGTTAGTCGATTCTAAATACTCTGTAATGCTGTCATTCTCTTGAATGGTTTTACATTGTTTTGATATACTTAATGCTACAGTATACGAAGTTGTACTCAAGGATTTCAAAGAAAGAGACAATATGGTAACTACTTTTAGGTTAGGATTATCTGGTGGTGAAACACTATTCTGCTTAAATGGTTATGTTTTGATCTGCGCTGTTTCGTTGTTATGCCCTCTTTTATCTCAATCTCCACTCCATTATTTACTTTTTTATCTTTATCCTTTTAATTAAAGGGAAAAAATAGCAGGATATATTATAGTAACCCACTTTGACTTTTCATTACCTTGATTTAAAGCCCTGTATTACTCTCACCATCTGGTTTTTAACTGATGTTCCCCTATTCTGTTTTGCTGGATAGTATCAGGTTCGAAAGTTTAGGCATCAGCTGTGAAGATAATGAGATTCATTATGACGCCCATTCTTGTTGACTTTTATCTACTTTTGAAGACCTACAATGTCTCCAATGTTTTGGTTTTGTCGGTTTTATTCTTTACTGTTTTGTTCAATTGTATTATAACTAACGATATAGGCAATTCTATTAGAGATAGCGGGAGGCATTATGGTAACCATTGTTGATCACCTTGTATTATGTTTTTATATTATCTATTATGTCCACCCTTTTGACTTGACCGATTCTGTTCTGTTATGTCACATTTGGTTTTACTCTCTTCCAAAAAAGTAATAAGAACCGTGGGAGCAATGAAACCCAAAATGTGTAATAGTCATTGTACAAAAGAGAGGAAAAGAAAGTGCTCCAAACTATATAACTGCATGTATATTTAAGTGTATAAGATAGAAAATGATATCACAGAGTTTTATTGGATCAATGAACAGAACTGTTTGCAGTATCATTGATGGAATGTCCACTTTACAAGCTTTAATTTTGTGACTTGAACAATTATTTCTAAGATGACAATATGTAATCCATTAACTAGTGATTTCCTACTGTTCATTTTTTTTTCTGTAAATCTGTATAACTTGTACCCTTTCCCTGCTTTTTTTTTTCTTTTCTCCTTAAATAAAATTAAAAAAAAAAAAAAAAAAAAAAAAAAAAAAAAAAAAACTTTGTGTGTGAAAACTTTGTTTCCCTCCCGAGGATAAGTTAGAGAGCTTTGAAAGTTTCAGAACCTACAAGGCCTCTTTTGGCCTTGTTTTTTTCTGCCTATCACCCAGAAATCCTGAACTGGCTGCAAGGGAGTTTTAAGAATGTTGAGTAACCCTGAAAATCGTAACATCTCTTAGCCTACTAAGCCGAAGAAACATCTGAAAATGTTCCTGCTTTGTTCCATTAAAGAGAAGCCTGATGAAGGAACAAAAGCAGTTGTCCTAAATGCATTGTGGTAGCTTGGGTTGCACATTGGTGGAAAACCTGAAATTCACTTAAGCTCTGTGGTTTAAATAATAGTAATGCTAGCAGAGTATGGTAAGGGAGGTTTGATTAGATAACCAACGTTAAGGAATTACTAATTACATGTAACATAGCATAAATACGTACATAAAACAGATAGTACTAGATGAGGAGCTATACTTAATATAAAATTATTTCAAAATATATTTATTAAATCTTTTTTGTGGTGCTCACTGTTAAAACCAGGGCCTCATAAAAGGCAGGCAAGTACTCTACCTTTTAGCTATAGATCCAGCCCCCAAATGAGTTTATTCATGTTTATTTACTTACTGTATTTTGTTTATTGAGAAGGGTCTCCCCGTGTAGTTCAGGCTACTTGAACTCATTGTGTAGTCCTGCTGGCCTGCCTCAGCCTCCTGAGCACTGGGATTCCAGGTGCGACCATTACCTTGGCCAAATGAGATGTTGTTTTGGTGCTGGGAATCTATCTCAGGACCTCACACTTGCCAGGAAGGGGCTGCATCACTGAGCTATATCCCCGACACCCAAATAACATTAACTTTTAAAAAAGAGTTTTTGAGAATGAAAAGAACAAGACTTAGGGAGGTGAGGATGAGGTCACTGAGGATATACAGTTGGTCCAGTGCATGTAGGTTTTCCTCTTCTGCAAAGAAATTAACTGCTGTATACATATCTCACTTGCTTTTATTTTTTGGTGCTGAAGATTAAACCTTTGCTCTGCAATGGAGCTGTATCTTTGGCTTCTTATTTAAAAAATAGTTGAAATAAAAATGGATGTATAAAATATTTTGGACAATAAACCTATCCAGGTAAGCCTGTCTTAGTGGTATTTTTGATCTCCATTAATCTAGTGCAGTGTGATTATTTAAATTGGCCTGAAAATTTATGTTATATGAGATTTCTGGGTGTGGTGATGCATGTATATAATCCCAGCCCTCAGGAGGCTGAGGCAGGAGGATCACTATGAGTTCTAGGCAATCCTGGGCTATATAGTGAGACCCTGTCTTATTCCCCATTCTCCCCCAAATTATATCTGACTATAGTTTCAAATATTTTATTTTATTTTTTGGGTATTAGGTGTTGGTCCCAAGACCTTTGCAATGAACTCTCCCTAATTTTTATTTATTTATTTTTATCGGTACTGGGGATTGAATTTACAACCTTGCGCTTGCCAGGCAGGTGCTTATGCTGCTGAGCTTAATCCCTGGCCCTCTAGCCTTTATTTATTTATTTAATTTTTTTTTTTTTGGTCTTTTTCATTTTTATCGGTACCGGGGGATCGAACTCACAACCGCCTGCTTGCAAGACAGGTGCTTATGCTGCTGAGCTAAATCCCCAGCCCCAAACCTTTATTTATTTTAAGACAGACTCACTGAGTTGTCCAGGCTGGGCTCGAACTTGTGATCTTGCTGCATCAGTTTCCTGGTGTTCTGGGGTTACAGGTCCATGCCAGCTTATTTTTGATACAATTTATATTAACATAAACTGAATATCATTTTATAATTAGAGAAGAAATTGCAGCTGTTTTGTTAGTCTTCTAATTGCTGGCTGGCTGACTTTTTGTTTTTTTGAAATAGGGTCTTGCTGTGCAGTTCAGGTTGGCCTTGAAGCTCACTTTATAACCCAGGCTGGTCTAATTTGTAACAATCCTCTTGCCTCAGCCTCCTGATGCTGGGAATTGAGGCATGAGCCACCATCCCAGCTCTAATTGCCTTTAAGTGCAGTATATACATTCCTTTATTTGTTTGTTTTTCTGTGTTGTTCAGACTGGCTTTGAACTTCCAGGCTCATCTGATCCTCCTGCCTTAGCCTACCAAATCGCTGTGGCTCCAAGTGTACACCAGGGATCCTGGCTCATTCAGTCTTTGAAATTTTTTAAATTAAAAAAAGTACTTTATGGAAAGATGACTCTTTGAATATTGAGGGGTCTTGTAAGCCTTTATACTTATCTCTGTGACCCTTGTAGGCTTGTAGGAGACAGATAACATTACCAAAGTAGTACTCTTGAGAAGTGTAGGTATTGTGTAATTGCCTGATTAGAAGCACTTAAGAACTTAAGGTGGTAATTTTGTTTTTTCTTAAGCCTTATTTGTTTAGTAATATGGGTGGTAATTTAGTTTTTTGGTGTGCCTTTGAAATTATTCTTTATAGTAGAATTTAATCATTGTATTTTGAATTTCTGCAATTTTTTAATAGTTTAAAAACTTTTAAAACAGAAGTGGTCAGATTCCAGATGAACATTCTTGGGGAGAAATAATGTTCCAAAATGTGCTGTTGGGGTAGGGATTTAGCTCAGCAGTACATGTAAGTGCCTACCTGGCAAGTGTGAGGTTGTAAGTTTGACACCCCCCCCCCCTCCCCCGCAGTGCTGTTTACCAAGATTTTGGATTGGTGAAGTTGGAGAGGAATAGAATTGGCTTAGTTGAAGTCACTCTGTTTTGAGCTAGTAATAATGGAGCTGTAAATTATTTTATCCAAACATTTCTGTTTGTTATGCAGGCTTACAGTGGAACACCTCTAACTGAAGAAAAGGAGAAAATTGTTTGGGTCAGATTTGAAAATGCAGATTTAAATGGTATGCCTTTAACATTTATTTTCTTTAATCAGATCTTTTAATGTTTTTGAACATGTGAAATAAATGTTTGTTTGGGCTCGACTTGAATCCAGAAAGACAACCCAGATTATTTTTAATTTTCAAAATAAATTCATTTTTCATTAAAAGGTGATGTAACCAACTACAGGAATCTCTTTGTAACTAATATTGCATAAGTTTGAAAGTAAGTATAACAGTGTGTAAACCTTAAACTTAGTGAGTTAAAATTTTCCCTTCCTCTTATCCCCTCAACCTTTTTTTTTTTTTTTTTTTCTTTTTTCTTCAGCACTGTGGCTTGAACTCAGGACTTTTGGTCTGAGTTATATTCTCAGACCTTTTATGTGTTTATTTTAAAATTTTGAGACAGGGTCTCACTAAATTGTTAGGTAGCTCAGGCTGTGCTTGAGCTTGTTGTGGTCCTCCTGCTTCAGCCTCAAGACAGTATATACACCTTGACAGGCTACAACAATTGAAAGATTTTATTTGGCTTTACTTTGTATACTAAAGTAAGACAATATGTCATTCCATAAAATAGAACAAGTATTTCTTTGAGCTTAGCAGAAGAACTTAACTTTATAGACAAAAAAGAGCTAAAGAAAGAACAAGCAACAAAAAGAAATTGGTCACTTTAAAATTACCTTCCTGGTTAAGTGGGAATAAGGAAACAGATAATACAAGAACAGTTGAGCCAGGAGGCTGAGTCAAGAGGATTGCTGCAAGTTCAAGGCCTGCCTGGGTTACATAAGTTCAATGTCAGCCTTGAGTACTGTTTCAAAAAAAAGGAAGGGAACAAGAAAGAAAAACAGTTGATTGCAGTCAGAATTGGTTAATGTTAGGTTACTTTAGATTAAATTTTTGTTGTTAAGAATTAAAGTAAGGGAACTTTATTAAGATTCCCTTTGAAACTGGCTTGTTTGGGGAAATTGTCACCTCTCCTGTTTTTGAGATTAGATAACAAGTTTGTTCTGGTATTGTGAAACTTTCTATGAGTGATACCATTTTGGTTTCTAGTCAGATATATTGGGTCCAGTGTAGGAGCTTGATCCAAAATGATGACTGACTGTATTTTTATTTAGTGATAATGAAGTGTTGCTTGTCTTGATTTAGTCTATAAAGCTTCTTTTTGGAAATAAATGTTTGGTGCTTGCTTTGTGGGGGATTTTCTTTTTCTTTTACTTTTTTTGTGGTGCTGGGGATTGTACCCAAGGCTTTTGCTCTCAACTGTATCCCTAGACATTTTATTTTATTTTGTTTTATTTTAGTTTAGCTTTTTGAAAGAGTCTTGCTAAATTGTCCAATAAATAAAAAGTGTCTTCTAGATAAAACAGCACATAAAGATGTTGAAAAATGATTTTGAAAACCATGAATTCTGATCAGAAGTTAAAAATAAACTTTGTGCAGGATGTGGTGGAGATAGTCCAGTGCAGAGCCTGTGAGTCCCTAGGACCACATAAAAAGTTTTCTTGTCTTTTTAAAAAATTAATACGTTTGCAGTACATAATGATTACATTCATTGTGAAGAGATGGTACATGCACATAATACTCTTAATTCTTTTTTTAAATCCCCTAACCCTCCCAAAAAATAATTTTAGCAGTGCAAAATGTGACTAAGAGTAGCTCAGTGGTAGATGCTTGGTCAACAGGCAGGAGGCCGTGAATTCAATTCCTGGCACCAGAATAATCAATTTAAACAAACAGAGCACTTTGGCCGTGCTTGCAGTCTGGCATGAGGAGTAGTGCAGGAGGCCATTTGGGCTTCTGGGATTGATTTGGCCAGTAAGGGTGGTGGTGGTGTAAGACGAAGGAAGAAAGCTGCTCATGGGGACAGGGGTTGGTATGGCTCAGTGTTCAGTGGAGGAGGAACGTGCTCCCTGACGCTGGCGACGGCCTAGAAGTGGTGCAGTTCACCAAAGGAAGGAGCTCTGCAGGAGCACCAGGCGTGGGGAGGAAATCATTGTGGAGTGTAATTTGAACTCTTGAGCCATTTAAAACCTGTGTTGAGGAAGTCATCAGCAGACAGACATTAAAGCACGGGGTGGATGAGATGGTGTGTATGGTGACACAAAGAGAGTTAGTTGTGAATAACTCCAACATCAGAGCTCAGGTGTAGTTCAGTGGCAGAGCGGCTGCCCAGCATGCACAGTGAGGCCCTGAGTTCAGATGTTACACGCTGCAAAGCAAACAGCATTTCGAAGCTAGGCAGGCAAGTGGCTGGCAGAGAAAAGAGGGGAGGAGTGACTAGAGGGATCGGATACTAGGATTGGCTTAGTCCTGGAAAATCAAGGGAGAGTGGTGTAGCTCAGGGGTAGGTGCTTAGTCAGCATGCATCTGTCTGCTGCTGTGCTGCTGAGTAATTTAGTAAGAAGTGCTTGAAAAGTAGCAGTTGGGCTTAATAATTTAGAGATTATTGGTGACCAGAGTAGAAGTCACATGAGAGGAAGGCTGTGACAGAGACCATTAGAAAATGAGTCCAAGGTGAATGGGAGACGAAAATGGCACAGCAGTACAGAGTACTCAAGAAACTGGGCTACTGGGAGAGAGGAGAGTGCTGAGGCTGCGGGGGCAGGATGCGGAGCGGTTGATTTATGTAGTGTAGAAACAGGTATTGTGCAAGAGTATCATGGTAAATTACATAAAGTAGAAACACAGATCAGTGAATGAGGTTTTATAAATCAAATGCCTGTATAATTATCACCTAAAAAATAGAAAATTGCTACCTAGTTGGTTTTGCATTTTATGTAAATAGAATTTTTCAGTATAGCTGAGTATGGTGATTGCAAGCCTGCAACCTTGCGATTTGGGAGGCTGAGGTGGAGGGATTGTAAGTTTGAGGCCAGCCTGGCTGATTCAGTGAAATCCTGTCTTAAAAAAGAAAATGATTTAATATAGTAGTTTTTTGTGTTTGGCTTTGTATTATGTCTGTGAAATTCATCTGTGTTATAATGTTGAAAAGTAACCCATTCTTTTTCTGTGCTGAATAATATTTCATTGTATCACTGTATGGTAATCTTGTTTGACCATTCTCCTGTTGGTGGACACTTGGGTTATTTATATCTTTTGACTGTTCATAAATAATTCTGCCATAAATATTTTTGTGCATATCTCTTGGTGTATATGTGCTCAGATTTCTAATGAGTATCCACCTACAATGAAAATGTATATGCATCTTTAACCTGAGTGCATATTACTAAACCTTTTTTTGTTTTCTTTTTTGTGTCTTTGAGACAGAATCTCCTTGTGTATTCCAGGCTGACTTTGAATTTGAGATCCTCCTGCTTCAGCCTGCGATGTGCAGATTGTAGTCTTGTGCCACCACACCTGGCCCTAAATTTTTAAGTGGTCCTCCTGATTTACATTCAGCAGTGATAAGCTGCTGCTGCTCCTTCTCTCCTCCTCCTTTCTTTTTCCTCATTTTTATTTTATTTTGTGTTTGGTACTAAGGATTGTACATGTGTTGTGCAAGATACCATGCAAGAATATCATGATCTTCACACTGAGCTACATCCCCAGCCTTTTTGATATTTTATTTTGAGTCAGGGTCTCACTAAGTCACTGAGTTGACCAGGATGGTCTTGAATTTTCTATCCTCCTGCCTCTGCCTCCCGGAGTGCTGAGTTACAGGCACACACCACCACATTCAGCTGAATAAACAACTTCTAAGGCACATCTGTCAGTGGTTTTAATTAGCATCTCTTTGATGACAGGTGATGTAGAAATGTGTTTCCTGTTTATCCTTTGAAATATATTTCTTGGGGCTGGGGATTTAGCTCAGCGGCATAAGCGCCTGCCTTGCAAGCAGGCAGTCGTGAGTTCGATCCCTGGTACCGATAAAAACAAAAAAGACAAAAAAAAAAAACAAAAAAACAAAAAAATATATATATTTCTTAATAAAAGTCTTTCATGGGTATCTTCCATAATTTTCATAACTTGATGTCTTTCTCATATTGATACTTGTTTATTTAGTGGCACCAGGGGCCTCGTATGTGCTTGGCAAGGGCAGTAGCACTGAGCTGCGTCTCTGGCCTGTGTTGTATACTGTTCCACCGAGCCTAGGGAGTGATGAGCAATCCCCTGCCCTTTTTATTTTGAGATAGTGTCTCACTAAACTGGCCAGGCTGGCTTTGATTTGGGATTAAAGCCACAACCCACTGTGCCCAGCCATGGGTTTTCCCCCCTGGTGGTACTAGGGATTGAACCAGAGTCTTTGGACCAAACTCCCATCTTCAGCCTATTTTTTTATTATTTAATATTTTACTTTGAGACAGAGTCTCATTAAGTCACTGATTGACCAGGCTGGGCTTGAATTTATGATCTTTTTGCCTCAATCTCCCAACTGGATAGGATTATAGCCATGTACCACCATGCCTGGCAGCACAGTTGTTTTTTTGATTAATATTATATATTTCACAGTTCTCTTTGTAATTTAATTCTAACACAGATACATCAAGAAATCTGGAATTTCATGAAATACACAGCACTGGGAATGAACCACCATTGCTGGTAATGATTGGCTACAGTGATGGAATGCAGGTCTGGAGCATCCCTGTAAGTACAAATGGATCGTACCCCTAAAAAATACTTCCGTATAGTGGCTTATGTGGAGTCTGGAGAGACTTCCATGCCCCTGTGGTCTTGTCTCCTAATTTTACAAATGGTTCTTAAGAAACTGCTATTGTACAACATTATGCAAGGCATGGGGAAAGGGGATAAATGGCAAATCAAAGATACTCTTACTAAGTAGCAAAGTGGGTCAGAAATTGTGCACATCATATACCCATGAGGGACCAGCCCCTTGCTTCTTGGTCCTGCTTTGTTTGTGCCCTTGATGAAGGATTTTAGTCGAGATATGTACAGTCGATGCCCCGTGAAGAAGTATAGGTAGCGTTTATTGTAAAGCAGATGGAGAGGTGTGCCTTCAAGTGAGAAGGCTGGACTTGATATGTGGTTCTCTTGCCTCAGCCTCCTGGAGTTGCTGAAATCACAGGTATGTGCCATCATGCCCTGCTTCACTGACTGGTAACTGTGTAATCTTATTGCATTTATTTGGTGACTGGTTCTCTATTGATGAAAACACTTTGTTTCTAAAATTATTTATTATCGGGGCTGGGGATTTAGCTCAGCGGCATAAGCGCCTTCCTTGCAAGTGTGCGGTTGTGAGTTCGATCCCTGGTACCGATAAAAAAAAAAAAAATTATTTATTATCAGCTGGGCATGGTGGTACGTGCCTGTAATCCCAGCACTTGGCAGGCAGATGCAAGAGGGGCCTTCGAGGTCATTTGAGACCAGCCTGAAGTGCATAGTGAGACCCTGTCTCAAAAAGACAAACAACTCCCCCAGCCCCTCCCCACAATTATTTATTATTTATTTCTGGGGTATTGTAGATTGAACCTAAGGATGCTCTACCCAGCCCTTTCTTTTGCCTTTCCTTGGTATTTCCTAGGTATTTTTCAAAGCTCTGCAATGCTGTTTGTTACTGAACTATATATAGCCACAGGCAGAGACAAAGGATTTAAGATCCAGGCAGTGTTTTTTTTTTTTATTAGCCTATAAAGATAAGTATTTCTATTTCTAGTTTGGGGTTAGAGGAAAAAAAATTTGTACATGTAAAATTTTTATTTCCATTCTGGAGGGATGGGTGGCTGTTGAGACAAGATCACACTCTGTAGCTCAGGCTGCCCGTGAGCTCAATGGTGACCTTCCTACTCAGACTCTTGGGTGCGTGGAGGTGGAGGGCTGTTCATTTTCTTTCTGTTGTTAGATCAGGTGTTGCTGTAACATTCTTACAGAGTCTATTCTTTTTTTTTTTTTTTGGTCTTTTTCCTTTTTATTGGTACCGGGGGATCGACAGAGTCTATTCTTTATCTGGTTGTTCGTTGACAGAATTGAAGGCAAAGAGGAAGCTCTAGCTTAACAAGGTTGTGTCCTGTGATTGGGGAATTGATTGTACTGAGCACATTTCCTTTGGTGGCTTTCAGGTGGCTTGAGTGCTGCCTACTAGTTCTGGTTAGAAGTACAAGTATTATTATTAATAGTTTAAAGTTACGTTGAATTTATCTCTGGGTAATTTTAAGGCCTTTATTTTTCCTTGCCCCTTGATTGTATTGCTTATTAATTTAGAGACAGGGTCTCAGTGTGTCACCCAGCGTGGCCTTGAACTCATGGCGGCCCTCCTGCCTCAGCCTTCCAGTGCTGGGATTACAGGTGTGTGCCGCCACATCTGGCAGTTTTCTTAGTTTTGACAGTTGTGCATACCTAAATAACCCAGTCTGTGTTGAGACATTGAACTCGAGTGTGACTTAAAGGACTCTGCCAGCTGATTGTGCTTCCACCTGGTCCAGAGGTGCTCACTGTCCACGTGGGTGTTTTTGCTGTTGCCAGCGAGTTTCACCTGTTCTAGAAATTGCTCCACAACTTTATATACAGTATGTTTTCTTTTGTTGTAAGGCGTTTTTGCTCAGTGTAACTTATCTGAGAATGATTCATGTTCTTGTCCTTTTAATTGCTGAATAGTTTTTCAGTGTGTGAATACGTTACTGATTTCTATCCTTTGGCTACTATGAATATGGCTTCTGTGTGTAACTCTTTTTGTAAGTGTATGTATTGCTTTCTTTTAGATAAATACCTATAAATGGAGTTGGTGATTCATGAGGTTGGAATGTGGTTAGTCTTTTTTTAAATTAAGTTCATTGGTACATTAGAGATATACATAATGATTGCATTCATCATAAGGAGTTTGTACCTCTACATGATTTATCTTGATTGTTTTTTCTTCCATTCCTCTACCTTCCCTTCAACTCGTTTCCCTCCTTATTTCCAAAAGTTTTGTTTCCATTTTTCCTCCTGTTCTCTTCTTCTCAATTCCTTCTTCCCCACTGCCTTCCCTCCCTGGTTCCCCTTCCCATTTGAACATTTTTTTTCTTATTTCACAATACTATTACACATTTTGGTCCTTATTTACACATTTGATTTCTCACACTAGAGAAACAGTGGGTGTGTACATGTTTGTGTTCAATTTATTTTACTTGAGTATGATTTCAAGGTGCATCTATTTAGCTAGAAATGCCTCAAGCGTATCATTCTTTATGGCCAAGTCATACTCCATTGTATTAATGTGAGAATGCAGAATCAGACAGACAAGACACAACACCAGAGGCACTTTGGAAGGCAGACAGCTTTATTATGTTAGCAGGATGGGGTGGGGAACAATGAGGTCCAAATAATCAGTCCTGTTTTTGGGGAAAACATTTACTTATACAAGGTTACAGGAGGAGGTACAAAAGGCAGATTACCATGATATTTCATAATTAGTTACACATGCTGTCACATATTGCTAGACAGAATTTATGCCCATAGCGTAATTGGGGTGACTGTCATATACGAAGCAGGAAGACTCAGTTACATTCTAAGACTCAGCTGAATTGTCCTTGAGATGATAAGTTTCTGGGAATTTGCAAGCAAGAAAAACATCCTTGCCTGGCTGAACTATGCTTATCTTGCACTTGGAAATGGCATGTCATGGCTCCTTAAGTTTTGTAGCTTTCTAATTTTGGGAACAGGCTGTGCTTCCTAATCTCATCCTTGAATAGTGTTAGAAATATACTAGTATTAGAAATGTAAGTTTTAAAATTTCCTTTATATTTAAAATAGCCTCTACAATATAAAAAACACATATCTTCTTGACCCATTCCTTGGTTGATGGGCCTTTGCACGGTTTCCAAGATTTAGCTATTATAGACATGAGTGTGCATGTATCGCCAAGGATGATGCTTTTAATTCTTTTGGGAAGATACCCAGGAGGGGAATAGCTGGGTCAAATGGAACTTCTTTAGTGTTTTGAGGAATCTCCACACTGATTTCCACAGTGGTTGTACCAGTCTACAGTCCCACCAACTGTGGAAAAAGTTAAGCTGTGTAGCTGGGGGGATACAAAATCAGCACTCAAAAATCAATAGCATTCCTATACACAAATAATAAGCTCACTGAGAGAAAAATAAGGGAAACTGTACCTTTCACAGTAACATCAAAAAACACAAAATACTTAGGAATCAGTCTCACAAAGGAAATAAAAGATCTTTATAGAGAAAACTATAGTACTTGGAAAAGATTGAAGTGGATATCAGAAAATGGAAAGACATCCCTTGCTCTTGGATAAGAAGACACAATTTGGGACTGGGGATTTAGCTCAGCGGCATAAGCGCCTGCCTTGCAAGCAGGCAGTCGTGAGTTCGATCCCTGGTACCGGTAAAAAGGAAAAAGACAAAAATAAATAAATAAATAAATAAATAAATAAGACACAATTTAATGAAAATAGCCATACTTCCAAAAGTTAATATAGATTTAATACAGTCTCTATCTAAATACCAATAGCACATCTCACAGAATTAGAGAACCCAATCCAAAAATTCATTTGGAACTAGAAGAGACCTATAATAGCAAAAGCAATTCTGGGCAACAAAGACAAGGTCGGGGACAACACAATCCCAGACTTGAAATTATTCTACAAAGCTACTGTGATAAAAACAGCATGGTACTGGCAAAAACAAAACAAACCAAAAAACCAGACCCCCTTGCAGGTGGTAGGTCCTCAGCTCAATTCCTGGTACCAAAAAAAAAAAAAAAAAAAAAAAAAAAATCCAAATAAGAAAACAAAAAACAAACAGCAGACCCAAGGACCTGTGGAACAATTAGAAGATTCAGAAACTACTTCAGATACACTCAGACATTTATCTTTGACGAAGGAGCCAAACACCTTCACCGGAAGAAAGACAGCCTCTTTAATAAATGATGTTGGAAACACTAGCTTTCCACATGTCACAGATTAAATCAAGACCTGTGTCTCTCACCATACACTAAACTAAAATTGAAATAGATCAAAGATTGCAGTATAAAAACAAACACAGCTGAACTACACAGCGAGATCCTGTCTTAAAAGAAAAAAAAAAAACCAAAAAATCTGCTAAAAGAGAATTGAACTCTTAAAGGAATAGGTGCAGGCAAAACCCCAGTCACATGGGAAATATTACAAAGAATTAACAAGTGGGCTCTCACCTTATTAAAAGCTTTTGCACAGAAGAAAAAAAATTCAACAGTGAAGGAACAACTCACAAAGTGGGAAAGATTTTATTTTGAGACAAGTTCTCATTATGTAGTTAGGGTGGCCTTAAACTCACTGTATAGCTCAGGCTGGCTTCAAATTGAAGTGTTTTTCCTGCCTCAGTTTCTGAGTGCTGGGATTTCAAGCATGTATTATTTATAACAAATTCCTAAACCTTTTTTCAAATTGATTGTACTATTTTACAGTTCCCCCCAACAATATATAAATTGTTCTACGTCTTCACCTACATTTAATGTCTGTCTGAAATGATAGTCATCTAGTGAGTGATACATTGAGGATTTAATTAGCTTTAGTGTTTGCCCGATACTTAAAAATATTCTTTCTCATGCTTGTGTTTCTTTTGCCAAATATGTGTAGTTGTTTTGTTTTGAGACAGCATCTTGTGATGTGGTTCAGGCTGGTCTTGAACTCCTTATGATCCTCCTGCCTC